AAAGAGGAAGCCATGGATCTGGAACAAAGATGACAGTGAAGTTATGAGAGCAACCTTGGACATCTTTAAAGTGCATTTCTAAAGGGATTCCATTTTGATGCCTTTTGCGTTCAGAAATTTCATTGTTTCTGTGCAACCAATTCGAATCTTGAATAGCAAAGCCATTTAATGTTGTGGGACAAGAAGCAAAGGAGAATATTGAATCACTGAAGCAGAATACAATACATTATACAGAAACAAACCAAGTGTCAATTTATGTTTGTTCTAAAAGTGCCATGATTGGATTTGGAAAAAAAGGATAAATGTTATGGTTCAACAATCAAACAATGGGAAAAACATCAGTGCCTATTGAACAGAAATGGAAAGGGGTGAAGGGGGGTGGTAAAGAGAGAGGGGAGTTGTTGCAGCAAAACCAAACAAACAATAACAAAAACCAAAAAAACATTTTCTTTTGATTTCATTAAAACCAAAGTTTTCACCCTGGGCCCTGGCTGCCCAAACCTTATTCTGAGTTATCTTGGCTTGAAGATTTCCCCCACCTCCAAGCCTGCCAATTTGTTTTAACTGAGCTTTTTGCTGTCAGGCCTCTTCTGACTTTTTTGCAAAGGCAGAGGGGAAATTGAAATTCCCTTTGATCAGATGGTTGGAAATCTCTCTCTCTCTGTCCCTTGAGAGATCTCCTGATCAAATAGGTAAAAAGTCACCCCCTAGTGATCAGAGTGAATAGGGCACTGACTTGGAGCTCACTACAGGGAAGGAGCTTTATGGCTACTTCAGTGACTACTAAAAATATGCAGCCCCTTCTGAAGCAGGAGTGGAACCAATGCTATCAGAAGACAATCTAATCTATACTGTGTGGGGCTCAGAAAATAGAGTGCTCCAAAAGTACAATGCCTTTTTCCTGTTCAGTTGAAGACAGTTATCTGTACTTCAGTGTAGAATCTGTTAGCTGTCCCATGAATATACTCACTGATTATTGCTGACATTGGGGATTGTGATCCTATTTTAGATTTGTCTTTATATATGGTTTATGAGAGCTTAAAAGGTATCTACTTGTTTTAAAGTGCATTTGGAGTCTTACAAAACTTCTTGATCTGAGAAATGTGTACTCAAGAGACTCACTGATAAGTTTATTTCAACATCACTCTTGCTGTTGGCAAATTGAGGGTGTAATGCTGCATTTTTTCTCACATATGGATTGAAGAAGTCTGAGAAGAAATGGAGAAGTGAAATGAGGGCCCTGTTTCACAGGCAGGTGGCTGTCCATACTGGTGACCCAAGAGATGCCCTTAAAGTCAAAGAACGGGAACTCAAGCTGGGATTTGAAGATATGAAAGAGAAGTGTACATTAGGCTATGACTGTGCCACCTGAGACAGTATTGTGGCAATCTCTCAGGGCATCAGCCTAACTAATGCATCCTGTGGTACATATTTAAAGCAAGTCAAGGTATGAGCCCTGTTAAACTGGAAGCTGGAAGAACACACTATCTGATCACTCCTATAATTACACTTGCTGTAGGAGAGAGGGATTCCTGAAGCAAAATGGCAAGGGCCACGGAGTTTGATCCACCCTAGTAATAAAGTAGGAGGCCTCATCCCCAGTTGCTGTGTTGCACACTGTGAAATCCACTCTTTTGGGAAGGACTGGAGGAAGTTGGGGTCGTGTTTATGTGTCGCATGACTTCCAATCTATTTAGCTGTCATGATGTGGTTTTGCTACACTACTTATGGATCTTTCCTGTTTGTTTTAGAACCTGCCTGAGAAGCTGAACAGGAATGCATTTCAGACACTTTACACAGGAGCAACCGGACCATTTCACACTGGACACAAACCCAGTCTATGCCAAGACATGAGTATTATGGTATCAAATTGGGTGGCCGAGCGTGAAATTAGGCATAAAACTAAGTGGTCAAAAATGCCGAGCTCCCAGAAGGCAATTTAGAATGCAGGGGCAGAGAGCACTCCCCTCTGCCTGAGGGGCTGTACTT